AGAGCATCATTACTTTAGCTCTGACCCTGTCTCTGTCAGAGCATCATTTTTTTAGCTCTGAATTTGTTCACTATTTTTGCTCTGATCCTGTCTCTGTCAGAGCATCATTATTTTAGCTCTGATCTTGTCTCTGTCAGAGCATCATTATTTTATCTCTGACCCTGTCTCGGTCAGAGCAACATTACTTTAGCTCTGACTTTGTTCATGTCAGAGCTTCATTTTTTTCAGCTCTGACTTTGTTCATGTCAGAGCAACATTACTTTAGCTCTGACTTTGTTCATGTCAAAGCATCATTACTTCAGCTCTGACTTTGTTCATGTCAGAGCATCATTACTTCAGCTCTGACTTTGTTCATGTCAGAGCTTCATTTTTTTCAGCTCTGACTTTGTTCATGTCAGAGCAACATTACTTTAGCTCTGACTTTGTTCATGTCAAAGCATCATTACTTCAGCTCTGACTTTGTTCATGTCAGAGCATCATTACTTCAGCTCTGACTTTGTTCATGTCAGAGCTTCATTTTTTTCAGCTCTGACTTTGTTCATGTCAGAGCAACATTACTTTAGCTCTGACTTTGTTCATGTCAAAGCATCATTACTTCAGCTCTGACTTTGTTCATGTCAGAGCATCATTACTTCAGCTCTGACTTTGTTCATGTCAGAGCTTCATTTTTTTCAGCTCTGACTTTGTTCATGTCAGAGCAACATTACTTTAGCTCTGACTTTGTTCATGTCAAAGCATCATTACTTCAGCTCTGACTTTGTTCATGTCAGAGCATCATTACTTCAGCTCTGACTTTGTTCATGTCAGAGCTTCATTTTTTTCAGCTCTGACTTTGTTCATGTCAGAGCAACATTACTTTAGCTCTGACTTTGTTCATGTCAAAGCATCATTACTTCAGCTCTGACTTTGTTCATGTCAGAGCATCATTACTTCAGCTCTGACTTTGTTCATGTCAGAGCTTCATTTTTTTCAGCTCTGACTTTGTTCATGTCAGAGCAACATTACTTTAGCTCTGACTTTGTTCATGTCAAAGCATCATTACTTCAGCTCTGACTTTGTTCATGTCAGAGCATCATTACTTCAGCTCTGACTTTGTTCATGTCAGAGCTTCATTTTTTTCAGCTCTGACTTTGTTCATGTCAGANGATACTGCCCTCAGATACTGCCCTCAGATACTGCCCTCAGATACTGCCCTCAGATACTGCCCTCAGATACTGCCCTCAGATACTGCCCTCAGATACGGCCCTCTGTTACTGCCCTCAGATACTGCCCTCGGATACAGCCCTTAGATACTTAAGTTACTGCAATAATTAAATTAATTTTAAATACTCTCGTACTTAGTGAACAAATTAGCAGAATTTATTTTACATTTTCCCATAATGGAAATTTTTTTATTGTTTATTGCGCAATTAGAAGCAGCTATTAAGACAAACTCGAACGTTGCTCTTTGCCTAAGTTGGAACTCGTGAAATGATGGTTGAATAATTATTTTAAGTGGTCGGAGGCCGCGGAAATGGAAACTATTCCTATAAATAATCGAAAGAATAAGAAATAATTTATTGCTGAACGCACTTTTTGCAATCAATTGACTTCAATTCGTCATAATTTTCGGATTCAGTAATGAGGACGATACCACAATTATGTTCTTTTATTCGATTCTTCTTGACCTAGCTTTTATTTTATAAAGTTTTATTCAGGCATCAGAATGTAAATTCTAAGAATAATTTCATTGTTCGTTCAAACTCAACTTAGTGAATGCTCCCTTCAACTCGCACAGCTGATATATTCGGTGCAATGTTAGCTATTAAAATTATAAATATGTTTGTGGTAAAGCATTGGCACTATATACTGACGGTTAGCCTTCATTAAGCTAAAATATTTGGTTTTTGATAATCTATTTATTTTGCCCCTAACATTCATGGACTTTAAAAGTAATTCGAGATACGGCGAGGTATATTTTGAATTAAATTTCTCTGACTTGCAGCCAAGCAGTCACCCTCTCATTCAAGACTCAATCGAATAGGGGCATGTGGTGCCAGTGACGATTGAGAGTGCCTCTAATAATTTTTAGGGTATAGGGTACCACCAATAATATAGAGGGCATTGAGTGCGACCACTTACATATTAAATATTTACGAAACTTCGGATACTTAGGACATATTAAATATTTGCGACACTTCGGATACTTAGGACATATTAAATATTTACGAAACTACGGATACTTAGGACATATTAAATATTTAAAACACTTTGGATACTTAAGACACATTAAACATTTACAACACTCCGGTCACCTAAGACACATTGTTGACCCCGATTGTTTCGTCTTGTACTATTATTTCCGTTAGTTGTACAATTATGAAACATTGTTCCCATATGGACTTTTTTTCCGGACAAATTCCGCGACTTAGGTTTTTTCAATTGCGTTAGCCGGCTAAAATTCCTAATAGGTACTGATATGGGTACTGATAGGGGGAGTACTTCCTAATTAAGGGGTGCTTCCCACTTAAATTAAAAAAATTGAAATAAAAAATAAATGGAAGTTTTTCACCGAACCTTTAAATGTACAAGTATATATTGAGTTATAGGCCTTTTTGGCCTTTTTTTTATTCGCCGACTTGGCCGTTTTTTAGGCCATCTGGCAACCCTGAATTATGTACAACAACTTCCTAGAGAAATACACTTCGTGGTACGCATATGTACCACTTCGGAGTCAACGCGTTAAGACACTCAAGATGCGGGAAACGGTTATGACACTTAAGAAACTTAGCTATGACATGAAACATTGAACACTGGTAAACACATCACTAAGTTTGGTTTACTAATGTAGAAGTAAATTTTTCAGTGAACATGATGCCACCAAATCCGTGAAATTAAATATATTAATTTCACAACTGCGCAGAGATCACATCAATGTCATAGAAGTAATAGAAGTAATTATAATTTCATAATTTTCATTTCATAATAATTTCATAAATGTCGTTCTCGAATTAGAAAAATAACTTATAATTGCTTTGAATCAAGCTTGAACTCCAGTAAACTCAAAATAAGTCCTTTTTTTTAACTGTGTTGTGATGGTGTTAATTTAAAGTGATCCGATCCACTGAAGATATATCTCAATTTACGTTTATCCAGAGACTATAAATAATTTCGGGTATGTGTGTTTAGTCGTTCCTGAATTAGGAAAAAAGTAGTCTTGCCTTTTTTTCATGTCGAAAAGAGAAAATGTCCGTATTTGAAAAAATTTCCACAATTATAAAATTCTGTACGTTGAATTAATGCTCTCATTCTAGTTCTCTCTGTAACCAATCCCACAAGGAAAATTCCATTGGAATTCGGACGGCAGTTTATGCTCAAAAATTTCAAATGAATTTTCACTCTGCAGGTGAACAGCGCGTTGATTAAGAGCGTTTAGTTAGTTTAATTCAGTTAGATACTCTTCATGACAGGAAAATTTATAAAAAAAATGTTTTTTGGAAGAAAATCAGTACTACAGCAAGTAGCTATAGCTCTGTTAATACCATTTCAAGCCCAAACTGAGTCAGGATGACCCATACAGGAGCAGCAAGTGCATTACTGATTGACAATGTCTCACTCATATATGAAGTAAGGCATCAATAATGTATGTTTAACGACATACATTATTGCAGGTCGTTGAACATACATAACATAACATTAGGTTTAACATAAACCTAATTAATATACACATTTATAGAAAATCCCACTGACACATCATTCTAGATCGTTCTCATTTATATACACAAATTCATACATTTGCGTCACGCAACACGACACAAATTCATACAACACAAATGCGCTCGTGAATGTTAAAGCTACATTCATTCATTCATATCCTCAGAGAAATGAGTGAGATTTTGTTCAATTATTGATGCACTTTCTGCCGTTGTATGGGTAATCATGACCCAGTTTAGCCCGGCCTAATGATGTATCAGTGCTTCATGAAGGAAGTGTGTCATGAAGGAAGTGTGTCATGAAGGAAGTGTGTCATGAAGGAAGTGTGTCATGAAGGAAGTGTGTCATGCAGGAAGTGTGTCAATATTTGTACAATATAGCCCATTCATTGCTCTCAGTATCCATCCAACATATCTATACAGTTCACCCGATCACTCACACATAACAAAACATTGTCACTGTGAATCCAACTGAATATCTTCACACAGATTCTGCAGTGTAACTTCGCTGAATATTTCGTGCAAAGCTAAACTCAAACAAAACTGTTTGTTCTCGCCAAACAACGATGCAGCGAACCGGCAGGAGTTTGCATTCAGACTTTTATGTTTTTTGAAAAAAAAAACTTTTTTAAAGTTACTTTACCTCAAAGATAAACTATTTTTTATATACCCGAGCCAACTGGTGTGAAATCGTACAACGAACTTAATTTCAATGCAAAATATTTCTTTAGAATGTATAATAATAAAAAATTAATCCAGAATACACTATGTACTACACGGGGCACAAGAAGAACGAAGCTAATATATTGAACTTTTCAGTAATGCAACGATTATTATTTTTTTCCGTTGTTGTAAAGTCTTTCTCGATTAATTATCGTGTTTAATTAATAATAAGTTAATTAAAAAATTGCTTGATAAATATTAAACATTCAAAAATATCTACGCTAGGGCATGTTTTTCATTTCTTGCATTAATGATGATGCAGTTCATATTTAATTTAGATAATCATGAGTATAATAGTAGAAACGATAGTGATAATGTTATAGATAATAATAGTTATGACGGTGTGATATGATGGTATGATATGATGGTATAATTACTCTTATAATTAACAAGAAATTTTACATTCATACGAACATTTTATTATTTTTATCAACATTTTCATATGAATGAATTGAGGAATTTTCTTGAAGAAATCGCTTTTCATACATCGCTTTTTCAACTTAACTTTTACTTCCGAGTTAAATGAACAGGCACTTCTACTTAGAGCGCCTGGAGCTCATTAAAAACTAATGAGAGCGAAAGCTTTCAGGCGTCAAGATTTGGGGCGTGAAATGTCTTTTGAATATTTAATTCATATATAANATGCTGAGGCACGGCATGCTGAGGCACGGCATGCTGAGGCACGGCATGCTGAGGCACGGCATGCTGAGGCACGGCATGCTGAGGCACGGCATGCTGAGGCACGGCATGCTGAGGCACGGCATGCTGAGGCACGGCATGCTGAGGCACGGCATGCTGAGGCACGGCATGCTGAGGCACGGCATGCTGAGGCACGGCATGCTGAGGCACGGCATGCTGAGGCACGGCATGCTGAGGCACGGCATGCTGAGGCACGGCATGCTGAGGCACGGCATGCTGAGGCACGGCATGCTGAGGCACGGCATGCTGAGGCACGGCATGCTGAGGCACGGCATGCTGAGGCACGGCATGCTGAGGCACGGCATGCTGAGGCACGGCATGCTGAGGCACGGCATGCTGAGGCACGGCATGCTGAGGCACGGCATGCTGAGGCACGGCATGCTGAGGCATGACATGCTGAGGCACGGCATGCTGAGGCACGGCATTCTGAGGCACGGCATGCTGAGGCACGACATGCTGAGGCACGGCATGCTGAGGCACGGCATGCTTCGGCGCAATACGCAGAGGTGCAATATGCTGAGGCATGGCATGCTGAGGCACGGCATGCTGAGGCACGGCATGCTGAGGCACGGCATGCTGAGGCACGGCATGCTGAGGCATGGCATGCTGAGGCACGGCATGCTGAGGCACGACATGCTGAGGCACAGAATGCTTGGGCACTCTATTTTTCACCAAAGTTTGCATTTTCTCGTACGGTCTATATTGCTTCGGCACCAAGTTTTTCTCATGTTTGACGGTTGCCATCTTCTGGTCCGCAGAACATGCGTTCTGACATACCGCTCCATCCACGCACTGCGCAGTCGCGGCATCAAAACTTTTGCCTTCTCCACACCAGCCAGAAATAAAACTACCGTCGCTTTCACAAAAGTAGAATTGCGTGCAGTTGTAGGGATCTACAATCTGTGCCCCCGGATAGTAACATTTAACCTCACAGGCATCGCAACAGAGACCAGGATCTGTTTGACATTCACTACCGTCGAAGTATGGACGATCCGATGGACAGATCGTGGATGTTATTCCTCCTTCTGGGGTACATACCCTGTACCTGTGGCAGTCCCCGGGGTATGTTAGTAGGGTGAGGGAGCCATGACAGGTTAGGGTACAACTGAGGGGACATTTGGTATTGCAGGAGCCGTAGGTGCAGTCGTTGTAGGATGAACTATAATAATATCCTTCGTCACAGCGGAAAGGAGTGTCAGTTTTGTTGCCGTCGTAAAGACATCCGTAGTATTGATGACAGTCGTGGGGATCTTCTATGTAGGACCCCGGTGCCTTGCCCTCGCAGGAAGCGACGCAGGTTTCAGCAGCAAAACTTCTCCCAACAAGCTATGGAATGAAAGAAAAAATTATTCTAATGACTAAAGAGAGTGAAAAAGGCTGTATCAAAAACTTTTTCAAAGTCTAGTGCTGAAAATATGGCTAAAAATTACTAAATTGGCATAGAAGGTATTGAGCGACCTCGGCCACAACAGCTGGCGGACTGTACGTTATTTGTAAGTACTGGTTTGCTGCAATCAATAAACATTAATGTGGGCATGATTTTGTCAGTGCGTCCGTTTTATCTTACGTAAAAAGCGTAGGTCACCAGAAGGAGTACAATACCCAGATTCCTACCAACTAATTGGAATTTGGGAATCGAAACTGGGACTTTTTTTGCAGCCTGGGAATACCCATTATTCCTATACCAGTTAATGGAAATTGAAACTGGGGTATACAACAATGGGTATTGAAGGACTTCGAATCGAAGCCCTTAAATACCCATTATTCCTCTCAATCAATGAAAATTGAAACTGGAATTTATATTTTTCTCTTAAAGTTTAATTTGAATTTCAACTTCGTACGACTAGGCAAAAACATCGAGAGGAATCTTGTAAAACGGCACAACGAACATTTTTCGGTGCGAGACGCTTGAAGCTATTTTCAAAATGCCACATGGCGATAATTTGACGATGAAAAATTTTTTCTGTCGTAAATGGAGTAAAAGTTTATTTCGGTGAAAAAAAATCAGGATTTTATGAATAAAAAAATTTTGTTGGAACAAATTTCTTCATAAAAAATTTTAATCAAAAAATTGTTCAAATTTTTCACAATTTTATTCATGGTTATACAAGAAAGGAGCTACAAAATTGACGTTGAGTATACATTCTATTAAAACTCACCATCAAGGCCACGCTCATGAGGAGAGCCCGGTGGGTGTGTGACAACATAATGAAAAATCTATTCCAAAAAATTGTCGAGTTATGAGAAGTCAAAAGTGTCCTTAAAAAGTCAAAAGTGTCCTTAAAATGTCAAAAGTATCCTGGAGAAGTCAAAAGTTTCCTGGAAGTGTTTCAGACAGAGTGTGTGGATATACTACAAATTTTCAGCATGAAATTTTAGGCGTATTCGTGTTTCTTGGTGTCCTGAAACTGAAGACAAATATGTATAAGAAATAATTCACTATGGAGTGCAGTTCAAATTATTTGTGAATCATTTTTGAAAAATTAATAAATTTAATTAATGTTAGATTATATTCCTGTTCATACTTTTTAAAAGATATTTTTGGGTGATTGTTCAAGTATATCAATGATTTAATTTGAATAATGAGTACAATCACCAATTTAGTCTCATCTCTTCGATCATACCACAAAAATTCAATTATGTTTGTGATAATATGATTAATATTAAAAATTTCGCATAAATTTCTTGAATTTATCCTGACAAATGACACAGGCCGGTATAAATATTATATTTTAATATAATAATAAATGCATGATTTAATGAAAGAATTTTTATAAAATATACAACTTGAAAACCATCAATTTAAAATGTTTCAACCAATTAAAAGTTTTTAGATTGACGTTAGAGTTGTCGAACCCATATCATTGCTTCCATACAAAATGTCACAATAAATGACAAACAAAGCAATGTAAAATCAATCTGACAAAATATATTAACGAATCAGAAATTAGAATTAATATAAATTGCTGCATAGTTGTTTAAAAATAATTATAATGATAACAAAAATAATTATTCTTTTTGCCACTTTCTGTACCCCTGTTCAGCGACAGAGCAGAGCTCTACGTGCTCACTGCTCTGCCGCTGCCTTGCTCTGCCACGTTGCTCTGATCATCCCTGATGCCCCTGATCAACCTCTCATGAACTGTTCAGCTACACTGATAAACACAATCAACCGATGATAACTTGATCGGGGACAGAAGATAACAAGAGTTGAGAGGGGTCGATATTGTGTCGAGGCGCAGCGGTGATTTATCTACGAAATCTGCTCCCTAAATAGAGATCTATTATTTCTTAAAAACATTCAGAAAAATGTATGCATTTAAAAAGCTTAAATACAAGTTTCATTGAAGACCAGAGAGTATATCATATTGACGATTTTCTTGTTGTTTTTCTTTATTTGACGAATCAGGTTTTTGAAGGGCAGGATGATAACAATTTGTTTGTCACTAAATTTGACCGGAAACCTACAGACGTTGGAAAAGCCCTAGATGAAGAAATTGAATGCACACAACGCTAAAAAAACCACTACCATAGGCACCCTAATACATCGAGTGTACAAAACCTATACATCTGCTTTTGACTTAAATACTGAACTCCGGACCTGCAAGCAAATTCTCATAAACAACGGTAATGCGTACAAAACTATCGACACAGAAATTTTAAATCGTCGAGCACGTCAAAACCAAACAGATATATTCGCATTAAACAGTAGAGTCATGATATTTTACTATCATAAGCAGATGAACAGCGGTTATAGGACAGACGAACGAGTCCTCAATTAAAATAAAACCAGCTGCACAACAGTAGCCGACCAAATAAAACTCATGATTTCCTACAGAAACGAAAAAATCAAGAACTTTATCATGGAAAATAATCCATGTAAAAAGTGCGGACCGCTGCCAAAAACCTATATTATTTAAAAATTCGCCTGCTTGAAAGAAGGTTGTAGACTTCCCCAAAATGTAAATCACATCGGTTTGACCAGCACGACATTAGCCGCAGACTCACATGCCGTCTGCAAGCCGGAGGACCAAAGAACCACATGCGGGAGGCCCACAACGAGGCCTTCACCCGTGCCATGTTGGGGCCTGCACCAGCATCATGCGGTGCCCCGACGCCTGCACCAGCATCATGCGGTGCCCGACACCCCAAGACTGCATGATGGCGAAGGCTCTCATCATCAAGGACGAGTCTCCTGCTATCAATTTGCAAACCGCCGGATTTTTTGGGACGTTGAAGTTGTTCTCAGAATTATTCAAGTTTCGATTTCTAACCTTATCTAACGTACTTTTGTACGTACTTATGTCATTTCTAAATTTCAATTTTAAGCGTTGTAAATAACTCTTCACCAACTTGATAATGAATATTGCAAATTCGAAAGGTCGGAAATTCCAATGAAATGTTTCGCGAAAAGTTTATATCTTAATTTTCTAATCTCACAAAAGTCCTGTTTGCCAAATAGTGAGAAGCAATAAAAAATCGTCAATAAAATATACTCTCTGGTCTTCAATGAAACTTGTATTAAAGAACAACTTCTGCCTAACTACACTAAAAACTTAAAAGATATGACCGATCAAAAACTAAGTAAAAACTTTTCATAAAATATACATGCAGTATTTTATTGTATTGTACACAAAAAAAATCATTAGGAGTCAATGAACACACAGGTATAAAATACAAATTTCAGGACAATCAATTGTTTAATCCATGTGTATTATTATGATGTTTACTTTTGTGTTATAGAAAACGTAAATAATATCGTGTCAAATGCAATAATATTGTGTTGACATTGGCAGACAGCAAATATAAAATCCACTAATAAATAGAGTACGGAGAACGCAGTACAAAACATGAAAATATCATATCAAAAAATTAGAACACAAAACAAACATGTATGCTATATTATTGAACCTAACAGCCGGATTTGTTGACCGAACAAGTTATCTAACATGCAATCGACTTTCTGACGTAATCGCCCTAAATATAAAATTAGTTCATTTGGTAGCTACAAGTACCTCTCACTGATCACCAATACATACATGATGCGCTATCACCACTCAAAGTGATGTGATAATATAGCATCTTGCACCATGGGAATGTACTTGAAGTTGCTCTAGAAGGATCATTACCGAGAACTTGTCGTTCACTTCTAGAGCCTGGATCAGACGGAAGATAACATGATTATATCAATGCAGGTAAACCAATTGCAGTCCGAAGAGTCTGAAGATAAAACTTGAGTTAGATAATATAAGCTAAATAAATAAAGAATTTGAAGATAAAGCTTAATTTCGATGATATGAGACGAAGCTAAATAAATAAAGAATCTGAAGATAAAGCTTAATTACGATGATATATGGGGAAGCCAAATAAGTAAATTATCTGAACATAACTCTTAACTTCGATGATATAAGAGGAAGCAAAATAAATAAAGAATCTGAGGATAAAGCTTAACTTCGATGATATAAGAGGAAGCTAAGTAAATAAAGAATCTGAATATAATGATTAACTTCGATGATATAAGGGGAAGCAAAATAAATAAAGAATCTGAATATAATGATTAACTTCGATGATAAAAGGGGAAGCAAAATAAATAAAGAATCTGAAGGTAAAGCTTAACTTCGATGATATTAGGGGAAGCTAAGCAGAAGAATGTTAAGAGATGAAATAGTTATTCTTCATTCAAGTAGGGACAATTAATCAGAGTCTGCTTCCTGAAATTAACGAATTACGATTGAAAATGTATAACTTTTTGCATCAAATTCAATACATTGGATTTAAAGATTTTAAATTCAGAATTTTTAGTTCAAAATTCAAGTGCAGTATTCAAAATATCATTGATGTTCTTTAGGGTCAACATTACGTGTATAGTATGTCTGCACATAAATTCATGCATAAATAGTTGATAACCTTCTGTTGAATTAATATGCTCAGAAGTTCAACAATATTACATGGACGGTGTGGCAGTAAATCTATTTGTACTATGTGCACCTGTTTTGGAGCTAGTTGCACATGTGATGGAAAACTTGGAAAACAATTCACTTTTCAAAACACTCTAAAGGTAGTGCAAATAAAAGGTCATCGCAAGAATGAATGATAATTAAGTAGCAGTATAATCTGGGAAATACGAACAAATGTACCCGCAAATGAAAACAAAAAATAAAAATATATTAGGAATTTTTGAGACACTTGTTATGAGACACTTGTTATGAGACACTTGTTATGAGACACTTGTTATGAGACACTTGTTATGAGACACTTGTTATGAGTCACTTGTTATGAGACACTTGTGATGAGACTCTTGTTTTGCGACACTTGTTATGAGACACTTTTTTTCATTTTTATGAGACACTTGCAGGTCCAACTGCATAAAAAAGGACCTGCCAGCCGTGGACACTGCAGAGATTTTCCTATAATGAATTGCATAGAAGCATATCGTGCTACATAAAAAACGCGTGAAAACCGCATTTGATGTTCAAATTAAGCGTTCGTTCTGAACAAAAGCATCAGCAGTTGCTCTAGTTCCGTATTTTACAATTCTTGTTTTTTTTTCAGTTAATAGCCCAAGTGTTCCAAAAAATGTGTTATGAATTTTTAAAAATTAACTATAACTTTTATTATGTATTCATAGGAGTCAAAGTAAATGTTCAGGGAAAAAGCTATATCTGAGGCAATATTCCTCCATACACTCAAAAAACGATCTGGAGTTAATGTCCACATTTTCGGCACGGAACTCTGATGCACGGGTTTGCCTGGCCCTTAGAATCAGGATGACACACGCGCTGAGTAAAAGTGCATCAATATTTTGACCAAAATTAATAGAATTTTTAAAATAAAATTGTAATTCCTGTGTATGTATCCTGTGTATGGAATGTATTTCAGCTCTATATACATAACTTGAAAAAAATTTGCTGCTTGAATGGTAAAATTAACACATAAATTTTAGTAATATTCAAGAAGCTTGAACGCTATCGTCGACAAAAGAAAGCCTTGAAGCCTGAATGAAAATTAGAAAAAATGAATGAAATTTTATTAGTTAAACCTTGCGTTATTCATCGTCAACCTTTCAGCTGCCAATAATTTTCTAGTTAGGATGATGATTAATCGTCGATCAAGACGAAAGAAACTGTTATTATTTCCCGAAAATTTACAAATTTTAAATCCTTTTTGATTAACGAAATACTTACATGCTCATTACCTGATGTTTTGATGTTCCCAACTGTTCCATTGTTAATGTTGTTGAATTCTTTCTCATCAAATACACTCTATGTATTATATACACATAATACACTTTATGTATTGTATACACTTAATACACATTGTGTATTGTATACACATAATACACTTTATGTATCCTGTCTGCGTGGAGCAGCCGAGTAATGCACTATGCACCCATAGTATCACAAGTGATAGGTAGGTGCTGGCTCATGGGTGAGGAGAAGGAAATATTTGGTACGTATGTTTTAATCCTGAAGCAACATTTGAACTTTTATAACTGTTTTAATGTCGGCCCCTGTGTTTGGAATAAATTATTTTACTTTTCAGGCGTAATTTAAGTGTGTGATAATAATTTAATGTTGATATTTTTAACATTCTATATTGTTTGTTTTACCGAAAAAGAATTTAATATGAGTGAACGACGAGAAATCGTGTATTCAAAGTCCTTCGTAACAAGTGTACTTTTACTTATTTTCAGTTTTCGTCCTGACTTGAGTTTGAAAAAGAACGTATGAAGCAACAGTTTTTATGCTGTTTCTAACCATGAAGAAATATTCTTATCGTCAACTTATTTTGCGCCAGTCTCTAAAATTTACTTTGAATTGGCTCTCGCGTGTAGCTACTTCCTTCCCTCAAGTCATTAAAAACGAAACTGTTTCTAATTTTGCAGTTAAAAGTTTCTGGGACCATTTAATTTAAAAGAGGAGTTTAGCACGTAGCTCATATATGTTAAAAAATGTGTATAAGAAGTACATATGACTAAGAAAAATGTTCAACGTCAAAAAGCATTTTTTGCATGGTGCATTCGTGTGCGTGTATTCGATCATGTATGTTCAAATTAGTTTAATGTTGTATGAACTGTTATTTTTCACAAAACGAATGGCTAATATGGCAATTGATATAACTTGCATGTACAGCTTTTATCAATTTAACCCTTGTCAGCAATCCATTAACGTTCTAAGCTATTAAAATATGAACAGTTAAATGCAATTGATTGCATTTAAAATTTTTTAAAATTCAACAGCTGCTTGAAATTACATTACGTGTACAGATTTTACCTGATGATCAGTTACATGCAAATAATTGCATGTGTATATTGAATAACTGGATCTTGAAACAAATTCATTTAATCGCAATTTCGATAAAGCATTATTATCAACAAGCATTCGAAAGGAGATATGTTTACACAATTATTTTTCTTGGAGAATCGTTATTGCACCCCCGAATTTGCATTGGAAATGAAAGCAATTTTTGTGCTTGTAATTTATTTTTACACGTCAAGCCATGCAAAATCAAGTTTTTTGGATTATTTTAATGAAAAACAACGCAATAATTTACAAGTAAAACAACATTGGTTTTTGAGACTATGAAAGAAAATAATATAATAAATAAAATAAATACAACACAGCGAAAGAAAATAATTTCTATTGTGCCCAATTTACCTCAGTATTGAGCTATTTATCATTATATGTCGTAAGGGTGGGATATAAATCTTTGCTGATCGAGCGCACTGGTTATTCTAATTACCAATCAAATTCCTAAATAAAACTACCGCAGTAAACATGTAACCATGAACGGTGAACATCCGTGCTCTAATGAAATAAATTTTAATTTCTTTAAATTTCACCAGTGATGTACATTGTACATAAATCATTGCTGGGGTTTTTCCATGGCCTTTCCATGGCGACTTCGTGAAACTTGTGCTGGCGCAACATGTTTGTTACCGTCCTTTTCGCTTTCTAGTTCACCAAAGGGAGTGGTCCACCAATATGGTGTGGTCGTTGGCCACCAATATGGTGTAGTTGTCTCCCACCAATATGGTGTGGTTGTGGTAGGTTCCGGGGTAGTTGTTTCTTCCGTGGTTGTCGTGGGTGGGTTAATGGGACACACGTTTTTGCACTGTTCTCCATCGACACATTTTTCTGTCACGGGGTCGAAATGCATGCCTTTCCGACACGAATTTGCTTCATAGTTGTAATAGTCCTCGCAGAAGTAGTAGTTAGTACAGTTGTAGGGATCGACAATCTGGGTCCCTGGATAGTTACATTTTGGTGTGCAAGGGTCGCAGCAATGGTCAGGGTTAGACTGACATTCTCGACCATCGAAGTAAGGTTTATCTATCTGACATACTCCAGTTGACAGTCCCCCGTCCGGGGTACACACTTGAAACTTGGTACAGTCCCCAGGATACACGAGGACTTTAAAGTCCACATGACAGGTCAAGGAGCACCTTGGTAGTGGACAGACTGATTTGCAGGGGCTACTTTCAACGACACATTTGCCGTAACTTGTGGAGAAGTAATAGCCATCAGGGCAAGTGAAAGCTACATCTGTCAACTCGCCGTTCTCTTGGCAGCCATAATATTTGTGGCAGTCTGTAGGGTCTGACACAAATGTGCCTGGGCTGTGCCCAGTGCAGGTGGCCGTGCAAGCGTCTGCGCAGCTGCCGACTGTCGCCTGCTCGGAATACAGCAAAGATAATCATGTATTCATTTTAATTATTCAGCCGAACTAGTACCTAATTAATTAATTTTTTTTCGAAAATACTGTTGAATATAGTAAGAGTTATACTAAAATAATTCCATCAATTTTAGGACAAATATTAGAATAGAATTTGATTTTCCACAAAGAAACCACGGAATAACATTGCATTGGAATAAAAATTATTACATTTATCCTAGAATAATCCTGAATATGTTGTTATCACTCACAGAGCAGAGTAACAGGAGGGCCAGCGGCCACACGCAGCTCAGGTCCATCGTAAGGTTCAGCCTCCTCAGAGTTTCTGCGGGTGTGGGTAATTTGAAATTTAAAATAAAACTCAATTTAGGTTAATTTTCAGACACATTTATTTATATTTGAGCGAAAAAATAATTTGGAAGTAATCACATGCAGATGATTCACTCGTTAGTTAGGAAGTAATCTAATCGCATGCCGATTATTACCTCTTTAATTAGGAAGTAATCACCGGCAGACGATTCACTCGTTAATCAGGAAATAATCACATGTAGATGACTCATTCGTTAATTAGCGAGTAATTGCGTGCAGATCATTCACTCGTTAATTAGAAATTAATCACATTTAAATAACTCACTTGTTTTCATGTATATCATCGCTCCCAAAAGAACGTTATAACAGAACTCACATCTCGGTATATGAAGCAGAATACAACAAAGTTACTCATTAATATTCAACATGAACAAAGTTCCAGCCACACTCACCTTGTATTTAGTTATGCAGTCAATTCACACGTGTGTATCGCAGAGCAGCTCGTGTAGTTCTACACAGTCTTGAGCTGTGTAGGTCTGTGTGGCTGTGATCTCATTCACTGAGTGGCGTTGTCATATCTTGCACTTGAATGAAGTACGCGCACTCAAAAGATTTATTTTCATAATAACTTATGTGCTTTGAACATTTATGTTTATTATGAACTTAATGTTTTTTGCAATGCATTACTACAACTTTTATATAGAAAATTGGTTTCAGTATTCACGGTAATGAATTACGGCAAAATTTCGATATAACCTACTGGATTTAAAAATCGGTGATGCTGCCGTATTTTCTGATGGATAATAGCTTTTAATCAAACTTGTGTTAAGTTAAGTCGTCAAAAACTAAGTAGCTTGATTAGTTTAGCGCATTAGGTTGCAAGGACTAAAATTTTGAATATTAAATGTATATCCGAAATAAATTTTAAAATTGCCCTTTGTAGCGTGGTAGCGGCAAAAATAAATTGATATATAATTGAACTTTTCTCTTGTATGCCCATTTATTTATTTTTATTTATGTATTTATTTATAATTATCGGCTTTATAAATAACATGTAGCGCGACGAGACAACCTGCTAATTCTATATAAAAATATTCCTAGTATCAGATAGATGATATCGTACAGATTATAAAGTAATTATAAAAGTTTCAAATATTCTATCACCGTGTAGTAATTACTTAGACGTACTAAAAACACTATTAAATTTATTGAGTGATTCCTAAAAAAATCGAATTGAAACTTATAAATGTAAGTTAAGTCGTCAAAAACTAAGTAGCTTGATTAGTTTAGCGCATTAGGTTGCAAGGACTAAAATTTTGAATATTAAATGTATATCCGAAATAAACTTTAAAATTGCCGTTTGTATCGTGGTAGCAGCAAAAATATATAGATAAATAATTGAACTTTTCTCTTGAATGCTCATTTATTTACTTTTATTTATATATTCATTTATAATTATCGGCTTTATAAAGACCATGTAGCGAGGCGCGACAACCTGCTAATTCTGTATAAAAATATTTCTAGTATAAGATAGATTATATCGTACAGATCATAAAGTAGTATTAAATGATTTAAAATATTCTATGAACCCATAGTAAATACTTCGACGAAATAAAAACACTATTAAATTTATTGAGTGATTTCTAAAAAAATCGAATTGAAACTTATAAATGGGGGACAAATCTCTGACTTTCAGTTCCATTTTCGCAACAAGCAAGACAAGGCTAACTTAAATAACGGCTCCCTGCAGACCAATGACCGTGACAGGCCTTGTTTGGGGAAGAGAAATTACTAGGTGAGTCACCCCGACCTGTATACGGACTAGGTGAGTCACCCCTATCTGTACACGGACTAGGTGAGTCACCCCTACATGTATACAGACTAGGTGAGTCACCCCCATTGGGACCTGTACACGGACTTGGTGTGTCACCCCTACCTGTACACGGACTTGGTGAGTCACCCCTACCTGTATACAGACTAGGTGAGTCCCCCCTACCTGTACACGGACTAGGTGAGTCACCCCAACCTGTACATGGACTAGGTGAGTCACCCCTACCTGTACACGGATTTGGTGAGTCACCCCTACCTGTACACGGACTAGGCGAGTCACCCCAACCTGTACACGGACTAGGTGAGTCACCCCTACCGGTATACAGACTAGGTGAGTCACTCCTACCTGTACACGGACTAGGTGAGTCACCCCTACCTGTACACGGACTAGGCGAGTCACCCCTACCAGTTAGGTGAGTCACCCTACCTGTACACGGACTAGGTGAGTCACCCTACATGTACACGGACTAGGTGAGTCACCCTACATGTACACGGACTAGGTGAGTCACCCTGACCTGTACGCGGACTAGGTGAGTCACCCCTATCTGTACACGGACTAGGTGAGTCACCCCTACCTGTAGACGGACTAGGTGAGTAACCCCTACCTGTACACGGACTAGGTGAGTCACCCCTACCTGTAAACGGACTAGGTGAGTCACCCCTACATGTATACAGACTAGGTGAGTCACCCCTACCTGTAGACGGACTAGGTGAGTCACCCCTACCTGTACAAGGACTAGGTGAGTCACCCCTACCTGTACACGGACTAGGTGAGTCACCCCTACATGTATACAGACTAGGTGAGTCACCCCTGTCTGTACACGGACTAGGTGAGTCACCCCTACCTGTACACGTACTAGGTGAGTCACCACAACCTGTATACGGACTAGGTGAGTCACCCCAAACAGCGACCCACGTTTTACCCATATGTGGGTCATCCTGACCCAGTTTCGCCCTCTTTGCTACGTACAGAAACTGTCACTGCTTGGCCATTGTGCCCCATTCAGTTCTCTGACTGTAAAAATTACGTCGAATATAACAGTTGAAAAATGGTAAAAGTTTGTGAAGAAATGTGCGAGCCGCAGTGACGTGAGATGTTGTCTTCAGTTTCCGGCATTGGAAATCGATGATGAGTTCTGCCAATTTGTCCCGATATGCGAATGCCGTTACTGAACAATGGGGCCGTGCTTACCGTTCATTATGCAGTGAAGAGTGTTAGAAGACTGGACTTCGGCCTGAGAAATGATTCTCTTATTTATTATTTAGGACTTCTGGCACTGAATGTAGGGAGAGATATAATAGGCAAGGGCATTGTGAGGAAGAGATATAGTTGATGTATAGCAGGTGACGAAATAAAGTGGATGTATAGCAGTGAAGAGATGAAGTAGATGTATAGTAGGTAAAGAGATAGAGTAGATGTATAGCAGGTGAAGAAATAAAGTAGATGTTTAGTAGGTGGAGAGATAGAGTAGATGTATAGCAGGTGACGAAATAAAGTAGATGTTTAGTAGGTAAAGAGATAGAGTAGATGTATAGCAGGTGACGAAATAAAGTGGATGTATAGCAGGTGAAGAGATGAAGTAGATGTATAATAGGTAAAGAGATAGAGTAGATGTATCGTAGGTGAAGAGATAAAGTAGATGTTTAGTAGGTGGAGAGATAAAATAGATGTACAGCAGGTGAAGAGATGAAGTAGATGTATAATAGGTGAAGAGATAGAGTAGATGTATCGTAGGTGAAGAGATAAAGCAGATGTTTAGTAGGCGGAGAGATATAGCAGGCAAGGGCATTGCGAAGAAGCGAGAAAGAGATGAATATTATAGAGACAAAGCAGGTACTTTCGTCTCGTCAGGACGATATCATCGACATCGCTTAAAAAAATATATTTTTTGTTTCAACTCTCGGATAGATATATTATTAAAAATTGCACTGGAATTAGATAAAAAATTAAGGTATTTTAAAATATAAAAGCATATCAATTTCACAAAGCTTGATCTCATATTGATCTTGTCGCTAGACTAATACAATATAACAAAAGCACTTATACAAATGAGCATATATATTATATAAGAAATGTGCACTTAATGCAAAATTTATTGCTATATTGATCGCGGCTGATTTATTGAAGTGCATTGCGGAGCTCATGTTGGATCTAGTCTCCTATCTCGATCAATGACTTCACTACCGGATTTTATTCTCATTAAATTGGAAATTTCCCAATTCCTACCTAAAATCCCTATGACAAATGCCAATTACTAATCCATATGCTCAATTGTGATAAATATATAATTAATTAACCTAATCCCAATGTCTTGTACTGATTTTCTTGTGGCTGTTTCATGCCTAAACGCCGGTATTCTGCAAGGCTGTTTGTTGCCTTAACGTCCCGATTTTTCATGGCTGTTTCAAGCCTGAATGTCCAAGTCTGAATTCTGAAGCCCTTAAAAGAAGCGGGCAATGTTATGGCGAAGACAGCGCACAAGTTCAGACGTTACTTTCGAAGCGACATTTTTGTTTTAAAGGAGGAATGGATGAGCATAGCTAAGAAATATTTAAAAAAAGTAATCACGAATAGAATTGGCATAAAAGACCTAAGTTTAGATTGCCTTCAAAAGATACAGCCGATTTTGCTAGAATATGTGTCGGTATATGATCTCCCACAGACATTGTTTTGGAAGATATTTAAGATACTAAAAAGTTGGATGAAAAGTTGGATCTTTCTTTCTGTTTTTAATAAATAAATGGTTATTGAACATTTCGATTTAATTTATTAACCTCAAGATTACTTTTTTTAATACCAAAATAAATATTATTCAAATTTTAATTAAAATGTAAATAGCAACACATAATGCATAATATAATCTTAAAAAAAACATATTTATAATTGGATGCAAAACAAATAACGTTCGCTTGCGATAAAGAAAAAATATTGTGCATTTTCTAGTTATTTTCTTTGCCTCCTAAATTCTTGGCCGCCTGACTCACCATCATCGAAGTGTTCAGAACATTTATTGACATGGTGCTTCCGTCCTGAGATAAAGCTCCTTCTCCCGACACCAGAACTGTCAACTCAACGTCCACACTCAAATAAATGAGCGAGACTTTGTAGGTACCAATAGTGATGCACTTTTTTGGGGGTCATCCTAGTCCAGTTTAGCCTGGCAAAAGGACGTATCAGTGCGCCTGTGAGTAAGAAAATGAATCACTATTTGTAATGTGATGTTAATAAGGTCTATCTAACTTAACATAAGCTTAAGCTAAAATAATGACAAAGATTTGTCGGGAGTCTGCTCAGTTTTTGTATGTTGTCTATAACACGATCTGTATTGAATTATATGTTATCTATAACACGATCTGTATTAAATTGTATGTTATCTATACCATTATCGGTGTGGATTTGTATGTTATCTATACTACGACCTGTATAGATGTTATCTACATATATTACAACTTGTTTGGATTTACATGTTATCTATTCATGCGATGCGAACTACGTAATTTTTGACACCAGGGAAGTGTGATTTTCGAACACCTTATATATTCATTTTATTCCCTGGTCCACTCTATATATGCGTATAAAATTCAAGAAAGTCACGTGAATTTAACTTTTAGTTTATTCTGGCGCATTCTGCTCAAAACTGTCATATAGTTAATGTAAAATCAGCCACCATAATAAATCTCATGATTTTCAATTG